TTAAAATTTTATTTTTTATTTGTTATATTATGAAAAATAATAACATATTTTTTAAGTATTTTAAAAACAATTTAGCTTAATGGAGAAGATCAAACGCAGTGATGAATTAAAAACTTTAAATGCATTTTTCTCAGAACAGCAAAAATGGACTTAAGATAGTCTTGTTTTGCAGCAACGATATGTAGAAATAGTTTATTGGTTGTGTTTTAGGCAGTTTTAAGCACAATTGTACTTGATTTTTTTTGTTTTTATGATTTTATTACTGGAAAAATATAAAAAAGTTTTTTTTTAGATTATAATGTTACATGTTTAACCCTCGATTTTAATATTTTTTGATTAGTAAAAAATGTTAGAGAAATGTTGTGTGGGAAGAGTTTTAAATAAAGATTGTGATAAAATGTCATATTGTAGAATGGTAGGAAGAATATGACTAAAAGATACTGATCCTAAAGTTTTAATTCAAAAGATACATTTTTGAACCAAATGAGATATGTTTTCACCATGAAAAAGCCTATATTTCTAGATATGAAGCATTTCAAAAATACTGTTGTGATCCATTTAAAGTCCACAAGAAAAAAAATATCAAGGATTGTGTAAAGTCAACATATCAATAGAAAATCAACTTAAGATCAATCCTGGTCAAAAGGTTTGTACCAACTGTAAGAATGAATTCAAACTTGAAAAAATTACAGAAGTTAGTCAAGATAAAGCTGCTGAAGAAGATTTTGGTTGTTCAGACCTTGATAAGACTGTTCTTAACAAGAGTGCATCTTTATTGGAAATATCTCTACTCAAAAATGTAGAAAGTAGGTGTGAAACATTAGGTGTGAAACATTAGGATATGGAAATAAAAAAGCTAAAAAAATTGCAACAAGTATGAAAATCCTTGTATCATCAGGCATAGACCCAAAAGATATAAAATATCTTTTGGGTCTATATCTAATGCCTGACAATACCAGAAATATCAAAAGATATAGAATAACTACTAACACTAACTTCTGATAATTGGTCAACTGAAAAAACTTACAAAACATTTTCAGTTTCAGAGCATCTCATTAAGAAAGCTCGAAAGTTGAAAAATAAAAATGGAATATTTACTAAACCTGAGGCTAAAATAGGACAGCCTTTGGAAGATATTGTTAAACAAAAAGTTATTGAAACTTATGAATCTGAAGGAACTTTATCTTGAGCTTTAAAAGTTATACCCTACACACAAAATTGGATTCAGTAAGTTCTGTGAACTAAGGCCGAAGTAGTGCATCACAGTTGACAGTGGTGGAAGTCACTCAGTTTGCGTATGTTTTTATTATCAAAATGCTAAGTTGATGTGCGCTGCTTAACCTAAGTATCATTTAACATATTACAAAGATTTGATGAAAATATGTGTTTGTAATATAGATAGTCAAAGCTGCATGTTTCACTTATGTTCCAACTGCCCCAATAAAGTAAACTTAAAGACTTAGAAAATGGTTTTGATTTTGACGATCAGATCACATACAAAAAATTGATGCCAACTGACCAAACTGCACTTAACAAGCATTATTGAGTTTATTGAAACTCTAAGTAAAACTTTGTATGATCTTTGTCACCACTACTTTATCAAAGAAGCACAATCCTTCTCCTTATCAGAAGCTAAAAGAACATTAGATCAACACACTTGTCTTATTCTTATAGATTTTGCAGAGAACTATAGTTTTCTTGTACAAGATACTGTACAAGGATTTTACTGGCAGGCTGATCAAGCTACCTTACATTCATTTGCTGTTTATTATAAAGATGAAAAAAATTAACTCAAATGTGAATGCCATTGTACAATTTCTGAGCATCTTTGCCACGACCAAACAACAGTTCATTGTTTTCTCACAAATTTACTCCCAATGATCAAAATCAAGTTACTTCCAATGATCGAAAAATCAAACTACCCACAATCAATAAAGTAAAATACTTCAGTGATGGTGCTGTGTCACAGTAAAAAAATTAAAAATGTTTGTTAAACTTAATGTACTATGTTGAAGATCACAATATAAATGTTGAGCATCACTAAAATGCTACATCCCATGAAAAAAGTTCATGTGATGGAATGAGAGGAATTATAAAAAGAGAAGCAGCAAAAGCAAGTCTACGAGCAAATGCAAAGCAGATTCTTACACCAAATAAACTGTCTACATGGGTTGAAAAATAAATTAAGGATAATAACATATTTTACATTTCAAGTGATGATATCAATAACCATGAAAGTTATTTTAACCTAAAGAAATGATATGAAGAGATGAGCACAGTCCCAGGCACAAGAAGCCATAATAGTTTTGTACCAGGTGGAGAAAAATTATTTTTACAAAGAATCTCCAGAAATACTGTCTGATACCCATTTGCTGAATAATATTAACTTGGCAAAAAAAGATCCTTCAAACTTTCAACCTGGTAAATACATTGCATATTTTTACAATGATGAATGGTACATAGAGCTTGTGCTTGAAAATTTGTAATGTAAACTAAGATGTTAATGTAAAATTCATGCATAGAAAAAAATTAAATTTAAAATGGACTGAATGCTAAAATGAAATAATGCACGACCAAGTCATTGTTGGGTTCCATTTGACAAAGTAATATTTTGAACAAATGCTCCATTTATTAAGGGTAGAAGTGCTAATGACTACCAACTTGCTAATAATGATTATGACAGTATTATGAGTTATGTAAATTAGAGATAAAGAAATGAGTGTACTTGTGTTTCATGTGTATATACACTTCTTCTTTCAGCATTTTTATTTTTAATTTTAATTTTTTTGAAACTATAAGTCTTTGAATCTTATTTGGTGATTGTTTATATATAGAATCTTGCTAGTTTCATAATTTCTTGCAAGTTTCATAATTTATTTTAACTGTCTATGCTACTCTCTATGCCTACAAAATGAATGTAATTTATCATTTTTTTTTTTAAAAAGTGATATTTTAACAGGCTTCTCCAAGTGTTAAAATAACTTTTAACACATAATTTTATTTTTTTTCCGATGTGGTTACTCTAAGTACACAAAAGTAACAAAAAAATTGGCACAGCTTGTCTGTTGGTATTGAATTGTAGCACATTAAAGTTTCCTCAATTTTTTCTAATACTGTGTTATTTAGCAACATTGAGGTACAAGAACTCGAAAATTGTTTAAAATCATATCGAATGTATCTTAGGACACAATTTCTTAGGACACAATTTCTTAACATGGAAATGAAAAAATATATTTTATGCTCTTTAATTCTTAAAATAGGCACCTTAGCTTTTCATAAAAAGGATAAAAAACAAAGATAAATGAAAAAAATGATTGCTGCCTATTGGCAGCAATTTTTTTTATAATTTATCAACCATCCAGCAGTGTAATACAAATCAAAAAAAAAAAAATAAGGTTTAAAAAATACAAGGTTGCAATTGAATGAGTTACATTGATTGAATATATTGGCAAATAATATTATAAATATTTTCAATCTATATTTAAAAAATTAATTTTAAAAACCATACTTTTAAATCTTCTGGTGTTACCATTGCAACAAATTTAAAAACTTTTTCATTTCCAAATAAATCATAAGCACATTGTCTTATACTTCGAATACATTTAACAGCTGCAATCCCGTTGTTTGCTACTAAAATCTTTTCAATAACATTAGTCCCACCATAACGTGAAACATATTCAGCTGGAGTGGCAACCTATACAAAAAAAAAAAGAAATATATTCAGCTTGTGTGGTAACCTAAAAGAAACAGAAGCACATTCTATCTGAATTGAGAACCCAATAACAAAGAAGGATTTGGTTTTTATTGGGACCAAGCAGATTTACAACCAGGGCTCATTAAATGTGATGAATCATAATAATTTAAATGAAATAATAAGGATGGGGTCAAAAATTTACAATTAAAACTTAAAAGTGTCAGCATCATTTGATCCTCTTTTCTCCCTAATATTCTGCTATCCAATAACAGATTTTTTTTTTTAATTTGATGAGGGGGGGGGGGACTATTTTTTTATTTTACTAAAAATAAAAGCAAAAAATGGTTCTAATTAATAATATAGTGTATAATTAACCTTACAAAATAAATAAAATAAATAATTAAAATTTGGAAACTTTTTAGATTTTTTTCATGAGATTTCTATAAACAAATTTTGGAAAATTCAAATAAACAAAGCTAAAGACTTTAAGTTTTCAAAACTGTAATTATTAAATATTCCTAGTAAGTTTCATTAACAACCTGAAAAATAATAAAAAAACATTTCAGTTTGGGGTGCAACTTTCAAACCAAAAACAAAAACAATTATAATAGTAAATTTAATTATCTATAGATTAAAAAGCAGTGAGATTCCTTTTTTTTTTTTAGGTTATTTAGGTGCTCCCAGAAGTCCTTACGGTCTTATCAGGGAGCATTGCAGGAGAGCATTTAACTAGAGGTTCACGCCTCCTTCCTTACCAATATCGCTTATTGGGGTAGAGCCGGTGTTGAACCCCTGACCTCTGGGTTCTGAGCCAGAACTCTAACCTCTGTACCACGGCTGCTTTTTAATCTGTCTATATCTATATTTATATATATTTTACCTTATACTTTATAGCTATATATATATTATAAAGTACAAATATTTGTGTTTGGAAAGAGTTTGTCTATAAAGTATGTGCACTTTTATTTTGAGTACCCTTCACCTCCCTAAAAGTACCTACACTTTTAACCTATCTACCCAAAGTTTTATGATATTTTCCCTAACTTAGAGTCTCCTTACTTTTATAATTGACCACTTGCCACCTATTTTATATGTGATATAACTCTATGAGACTCTATTTTTATCAAGATTAATAAGATAAGAATAAATAAAACTAGAAAAGTTAAGTTAGATAAGTATATAAAATATAAAACAAAAAAGTAAAGCTAAAGAAAAAAAAAAAAGAAATAAGCAAAATTTCGAAAATAATTCTAATAATGCACTTTATTAATACTTAGAATAAAAAATGCATACAACATAATCATATTTCTTTTTTACTGAAGAAGATATTCCCACTTTTTCTCCAACATTAAATTCAAGTCCATTATCATTGTCTGAATTTTCATCAGAATCACTAAATGGGTCATCAGCATAACCAGACATTGCCGAATATATGCAAAACTGTTAAGCCCTTTGATTAATTCAGAAACTCAATTATATAAACATATACATAATAAAAATAAGTTTAGCATCAATTTATATCTGGATATTTAATTGATGATTAATATTAATGTTTAAAAAAGTTTTGTGGCATATATATGAATATATATATATATATATATATATATATATATATATATATATATATATATATATATATATATATATATATATATATATATATATATATATATATATATATATATATATGTATATATGTATGTATATATATATGTATATATATATATATATATATATATATATATATATATATATATATATATATATATATATATATATATATATATATATATATATATATATATATATATATATATATATATATATATATATCAAATTAAAGCAAATCAAATCAAATGTATTCTGAAATAGATTTTACATGCCATGGAATATTTACATATATAGTACAAGTACTAATTTTAAGTAAACACCATAATAAGAAAAAAAAAACGAAAGTGCGCTGGTTGGATAGTTATTTTTAGGTGGCATGCACAATTTTAAAAATTTCATATGCATACTTCTCCCTATTTTATAGTATATTATAAAAAGTTGCATAATGTCATAAAAAAATCATATTTTATAGTAAAAAACTATTTGATCTAATACTACAATATGTATTTAATGTAATTATTAATTTTTATATTGAACGACATAATTTATTATAGTTAACAAAATTTAAAAGAGTTTTATATTTACTAAAACTAAAAATTGTTTTAAACTATATATATAACACTAAATATCTTAATTAACTATATTAATAAAATTGATTCTCTTTGTTCATTGTTTCTTCAGCTTTCCCTTTTAGTTTGACAATAGTATCTTTAATTTTGTTTTGTATTTCTTCTTTTATTAGTGTGTCTTTTAACTTTAGTTCTTCATAAAATTGAATTATCTCATTTTCTTGATTCAAAAACTTCTCCACTTCTGCAAAACATTTATCCATTTCATTATTTTGCAAGTCTGATTCAATTGCTTTTTTTCCAGTTAATTCTGTGAAATAATTTGCACTAAAAATTAAATCATCTAATGATGCTTTTTGTAAATCTTCATTAATATCAGATGTTGTTAATGGCTTTATGTTTTCCATTCCATTATACAAATTTAACACTAAAATTATAGAAGAATAAGGCAAGCTTTAATATATATATATATATATATATATATATATATATATATATATATATATATATATATATATATATATATATATATATATATATATATATATATATATATATATATATATATATATAACTATAGCTACCACAAATAAGTAGCCTCCTCATCTGTAGTGGCCTTCTCGGCCTTGAGGAGGTGAATTAAAAATATATATATATATATATACATATATATATATATGTATATATATATATATATATATATATATATATATATATATATATATATATATATACATATATATATATATATATATGTATATATATATATATATATAAATATATGTATATATATATATATATATATATATATATATATATATATATATATATATATATATATATATATATATATATATATATATATACAGGCCTCGGCGGGAATAAATGAGCACGAGAGCAGAGCAAAGCTCTCCTGAAATGAGGTTAGGGAGCTGTGCGAGCTGCTCCTTATTTAAATCGGCACTCTTTTTTAATTTTAATTTTTTTTGCAACAACCGTGCTTTTTGAAAAGTATTGCAGTATATTATGCAATTAATTTTTTCTTAAATGACACTGTGTTTTATATTTTAGTTTCAACGATAATCAAACTTTAGTGAGAAAAGTTATACTTTTGCGACAGCTGTAAATTGCTCCCATAAACCGGGGATTTATGGGAGCAATTTACATAAATTTAGGGGAGTGTGGACAAGAGCTGTGGCCTGTATATATATACATACATACATACATACATACATACATACATACATACATACATACATACATACATACATACATACATACATACATACATACATACATACATAAGTATACATACATACAAACATACATATATATATATATATATATATATATATATATATATATATATATATGTATATATATATACCGTAAATCGGGGTGAATAGCAACAGTGAGGTGAATAGAAACGAAACTTCATTTTTATATATATAATCTAATTTCTACATAACTATGGGTGAATAGTGGCAACTATTATTTTTTTTAAGTTGCTACACTTTAACCTGAAAGTGACATAATGGTTTGCATGGTTGGCAGCACTGGTTCTTGTTTGTTTTTTGTGTTGAATTTTACCGCGCGATTTTTGTGTTTTTTTATCTACTTTGAACTTTCCAGCTAAGTCGGAATACTTAGTGTTCTTGAAAGTAAATAGCTGTACAAAACATAGTTTAATTATTCATATAAAAGTTTCAAGCTAACTTTAAGCTTTAACTTTAACAATATTATTTCAATAATTATTCTTATTTTTTTAAGTTAGGTTTTCTGAATTTATGGGGTGAATAAAAACACATAATTTCTAGTGTTTCTATACACACCACAAAAAAAATTTAATACTAAATTACGTTTATACTGTATAAAATTGATACTGTGTGCTATATATTTATGTTAGACATTTAACTGACACAGCTGTTTAGTTTCAGGACCCTGTAAAATGCCAAGATACTACAAACCAGTGGTTACAGGAAGCTACAAAAAGCACAATCCAAAAAAAATCGAAAAGGCAATTTCTGACATACAGAAGGGT